TATATATATATATATATATATACTATATATATGCATATATATACAGCATATTTATGTTAATATAAATAAATAAATATATATATATATAAATATATATATATATATATATATATATATATATATATATATATATATGTATATATACATATATGTATATATATGTATGTATGTATATATATATATATATATATATATATATATATATATATATACATATATATATATATATATATATACATATATATATATATATATATATATATATACTGCATATTTATTATAGTATATATATATATACATATATATATATATATGCAGCATATTTATTATAGTATATATCCCAATGCCGCCGGGTATGACGTGCACGTACGTGCTATGCCCACCGTGAGTACTTGTTTGATTGTTTTTACGCATAGATGGCAACACTTGTACTAAATCACCAATGAGCCAACTACGAGCACCACCCGTCTCCCCCGTTTACCCGTTTCTTTGATTTATGAAATATTTTACGTTATATTATTTTGCTGTTACTATTGTTAAAAAACATTATTAAAATTACAATGTTTATGATAAAAATAACACCATCGATTTTCATAGCACTAGTGAAAAATACGTTTTCCCGGCATTTCAAATCAGGCGCTAGCAGAGCCATCTATCGGCATTTCACGAAAAACATAGAAAGTGGGCACAGCATTTTTCCCATTTTTGTTCATTTTTCCCGGCGTCATTGGGATATATATATATATATATATATATATATATATATATATACAGTATGTATATTTATATACATATATATGTATATATATATACATATATATATATATATATGTGTATATATATATATATACACACTATATATATGTATATATATACAGCATATTTATGCTAATATATATATATATATATATGTATATATATGTTTGTATATATATCTATATGTTTATAGATAGGCAGATAGATAGATGGATTCAGATCTTTGGGACTCTGTTAGGGGAACCCGTTCCGTCGATTCAAAGAGAGCTTTACCTAGTGAAGTCCATGTCTAGACTGTCACACCAAGAAATAAGTAGACAGGATAGTCTGGTAGCAGCAGCCATGATACTGCCCATTTTGCTCTATGGAAGCGAAACCTGGATGCTATCTTGTGCCTTGGAGTCTCGTCTCGTCTGCCATTTGTAACAAGTTCCTAAACCGGATCATGGGGTACAGTTGACAGGACCATATGTACAACCGACTTCTGCACCGTGGAACTAGATTGGAAACTGCCAAGTCAAGCTGTCTGGACACCTAGCTTGTTCCTCTATGGATGACCCTGCCCATCAGGCTGTCTCTTTGAACTCTACCCAGTATCCAGTCCATGTTGATGTAAGATGTAAGGTGTCAATGTAAGCTGCAAGCAGCCCACGCCCGAACTCATGTCTTCACTCTACAGTGACTTGGAGAACCAGGATACAGTCTATTGTGGACTTAACAGGAGTGAATCCAGCTTGCTCTGGTCTATAGGGCCTCAGCAGATGGTCTCTGATACATTTCAGAAGGACATGAGAGAGAACCTTCCCCTGTATACTAAGTAATGTAATGCTTCGGTGATTGCTGCATTCCCATTAACTCCATTTCCCCTTCCAGAGAGGGATGACCACACCCATCAGCAGGGCAGGGGAAATAGTACCGGTCTGACAGATGGCAGACAGGACAGCATGCAAGCTCCTTGCCATAGGTTCTCCACCAGCCTTTAACAGTTCAGTTGGGATGCCCTAGGGTGTTCATTGGAATGAGGGGAGGTTCTAAAGTGGACAGAGAGTAGCCACAACTCGGTGCTCCAATATACCCTGCAGTTTTGGAGGATGCTGCAGTGAATGTTAACGAGGATGTGGTTGATCTCCTTGGCCACATTACCCACATCACTGTACCAGGTCTAATGAGCGCTGATACCAAGAGCCACAAATCCTCAAATTTCTGGGACCTAGCAAAGTCCTGGAAAAGGAGACTATTCTCACTGCCAGCATCAACTCCCAAGTCGTGAAATCTCATAACCAGAACAATACAAATATCTCGTCGGGCAAAGCTATCTGTTACAGATGCAAGTTTGGCATAAACATCTCTTTCACATCAAATTTATAAACATCAGTAGGAGTGCACACAGCAATAAGACACATGAAGCCAAATGTAAGCTTCAGTCTCAATACCATTATACGCTCATCGACTGGAGCGACCTCTACTACCGAGAGTTAAAGTCTACTGGAGATGGATATGGATACTCCCTGGAGATGGTGACCATCGCTACAGCCCGACCAATAAGTGTAGCCACCCACACTAATCATGCCACTTCCAGGTCTTCCCACCTCCGAGAGAGCAGCAACCTCAACTCTTAGCTGCTTCAGCTCCCTCAACACTATTGGTAACCGATCGTCCTGTCGCTAAGAGTGGACGTTCCAAACCCCCACCCTGACAGCACAGCTGAGGTTTAACCTCCGGCAGTCACTCCAGGGGGACGCCA